AATCCTTGATGTGGTCCTACGTAGATACACTCTTCATTAGAGGGGCAGGGGCTGAAAGTGGTACAGTTTCTGCTGGTCACTAAAGAAACAGATAAATAATTGCACTATGTAGTGTAGGTATCAAAAGGATTTCACAAACATTTTTTATATCATAACATACTGTTCTTATATACAACACACTCAAACAGCATGCATTTCTGTACCTTAATATGTCCACCATTTTTATAATAGTTATAAGTAGCTAATCTTATTGACTGTAATAGCTGCAAAGATTGAAAAATTAAACTTAGAACAGAAATTGTTCTATGACTAAATCTTTTCTGTAGTAACAACTACACACACTAAACCCTATTTGTTGTGATTACTGTTAACTATTTTCTACTTAACAATTAATCTCAGTAAGCTTACTTGGTTATAATCATTACCCATAGCAATTCTGTCTATTTAAAAAACAAAAGTATGCTGAAACTATTAATTACAATATATCACAGTCTAGTACAATTAGTACACACTCTAAAGCCTGTGTATTTTAATTGTTAACAAAGTTAAATCTTGCATACTTTTCTTGTGTACTAAAAAACTAACAACACTAACAATGATGAAGTGTTCCTTACATAAGCAATAGTCTCCCTTCCTCTGAAAGTGAATAGGACAACCACAAGTATCAGTGTCTAGACACACTAGGTTACCCGGACAGTTGTAATTTACTCCACATCGAATAACTGAAAAGAACAAGTATTTACATCTACATTATACTTAGTCACATCTACAAATACAAAATTTTTTTATTTTATTAAGATTTTATGTGTAACATTCAGAAAGACTACATGTACATAAGGCACTTTATGAACTGTCTGAATAGAACAGGATTTTTTAATAATAGTAACACAGAATGTTCAGAAATACTACGAGTACATATGATACCTTATGAACTGTTTGAAAAGAACAGTGTTGGGTATACAAGACTGTTCAGTTTAAGAGTTATTATTTAGTGATTTAATATTTAATGATTATTTAGTTTTCATAACAAGAGTATCAAAAGTTAATTATTTTAAAAGTGATAGCTATGATAAGTTTCATTACATAACTCTGTACGGGTCATATGTTGTGTATGTATTTTAATTATTGTTCTAGGCTTTCGAAATATTGTTGACGTTATCTTACTTGAAGGTTTTAAGTTTTTCTCGTGATGTGTAATACTGTTGTTACTAGAGGGCTAGATATTTCTAGACTTTTCTGTCATGTGTTATAAATACGTGCAGATATAGAGAGTAAGTAAGTTAGTGAAAAATAGAGATAGATATAGACTGGCTGATTGTGAGTTTAGCCATAAAATGTGTATGGTGGCTACTTTTAACGTGTAATAATCACAAATTGTATTATAATACCAGAGTAGAGAAAAAAAAATTTTTTTTGTCAAAGGGTGTTCTAAAGTAATTGAAACCACCTGTGTGGATTTTGACATAAAATAAACAATTATTTAAAGCTCTGGATACAACTTTAATAATCTATGGTGTAACAAATTTTTGTACATAGATGTGACTTGTTTTGAATATATTACTTTAAAACAAGTGTATTGTGTGCTATTCATTTATTGTTGAAATTTGTCACCAACAAGTCACAGACACCTACTGTAAAGAATCCAGTCCTATAAAAAACCTGACAAATAGGATTTTTCAGTAATAATAACATATACAATGTTCAGGAATACTACATGTACATATGAAACGTCATAAAAACTCTGAATTGTTGAAGTTCTTTGTTCATATGTTAGCTGTGTTTGGACAGTATATGTTTCTATTGTTGAAAAATCCTGTTCTATTCAGACAGTTTGTGGAAAAAGTACCAACTGCTGAGGACTTGATGAAGGGAAACTAAAACACTCAATATGTTAATAACTTTGTTTGCTTTGGCACTTAGGGCCACTAGTATTAAGTAATACTGTAAATTCTTATTCTGTTTACTGTTCTTAAAGAACATAAAAGACCCTGCAATTACTTGTAAACTTCAAGTGAAAACATTTTATATAATATTTCTAACTAAATTTTAAGTATGCATATTTGGATGTTTTTATTTTTCAGATCTATGTAAACAAGATCATACGTGTGGTCAGAATGCTATCTGTAAAACAGAAAATCATAAACCTTTGTGTAGTTGTCCTCCTGGATACAGTGGAAATCCAATGACCTCCTGTTTTAAAAGTAGGCAATAGCAAATTACTAAAAAACAGTAAGGATAGAATCAAAATTGATTTATGCATTTCACAATATACATGAATTATCCAAAAGAGTGAAAACCATAAACCAGCAAGCTTGAGCTCTGGCTGATAGAAAATATTACTAGATACTACAAAATTTTGAGATTTCTGTTGCAGACCAAACTTCTTCCAAAATAAGGTACAACATAAATCAATTTTGCAGTCATGCTCAGCTCTTGGAGTGAAATTAGCTTTTATGAATAAAACAAGTTGCAGTAACCATTTGTCTCCTGAAAAATCACAACAACCAAACAAGAATAATAAAAAAAAAATCTAACATCATCTTGCTGAAAAATATTATGTTTATCTCAAACTCACCATGACAAGTACCGCTGGATAGGTCACAAATTTCATTTTCTGGACACTCATCATTAAATGTGCAGACGTTTTCATCAATTCTGAAACACTGACCATCATAGGGATCACCACGGAAACCATTAGGACAATGACATTCATAACCTCCTAATGTGTTTCTACAGTACTCAACAATACTGCAAGGCTGATGTAATTGATCTTCACATTCATTGATATCTAACAAATTGAAATATAAAAAACATTATTATTACATAATTACATAACTGAAATACAGTTTAAAACACTATAAAAAGAAAAAACACTTCATGCTTTAAATAAGTAATTTTCTTTGTGAAGTGGGAAAGACAATAATAAAAATGACACAATTATTATGAAACAGAAAAACTCTAAGACAAAAATCCAGAGAAAAAAAAGGTAAAAAATTAAAATAAATTTGTACGTGAAAGAAAAAGATAAATTGAAATTAACTGTAGAGTGATGTTAGAAGTATTAGGTCATCAAGAAATTAATGTCGCATTTTGGAACACTTTCATTAACCTCCCCCCAAAAAAACGTACATGAACTACCTAAACGTCATATTAGTGTAACCTACATAATGTGTAATTTTTTAGTATACTCTAATCCCTTATAGTGATGGCACATGATAAGACACACGTTCGGCATGTAATGCTGTTTGATTACAAGAAGGGAAACAATGCCTCTGTAGCCACAAAGAATATCAAAGAAGTTTATGGAAATGTTTTAAACGTTCGTAAGTGTCAACGATGGTTCAGCAAGTTTTGTTCAGGTGACTTTAGTTTTAAAAACTGTGATGGCAGGGGCCAATATGTTGGAGTTGATATTGATGCTCTGAAGATGCTTGTTGAGATTACCATCTTTCTCATTCGCTACAACACCATCTTAATGGGAAAATGTATGCAAATCTGGAAGGTGTTAAAGAGGACATCAGTATGTTTTTTGCTTCAAGGCCAAGTGATTTCTTTAATCAGGGCATTAAAAACCTGATAAGAAT